CCACCCTCTAGGACACTGCCCCCCCAGGACACTGTCCCCTCCCAGGACACTCCCCCCCCTTTAGGACACTGCCCCCAAAGCCCCATCAGGGGCCTGTGAGAGGGGGTCACGGGTGAAGCTACATGTTTCCTCGGAGGAACGGGTGTGTCCAGAGCTGCCCTGCGACCCGGGACCTTCTCAAGAGGCGTGACCGGGGGATTGCGGGCGCCGCACACGGAATAGACTGCGCTCGGAAGAACCCCGCGATGAGGCCGAGGCCCAGCGCCCGGGGAGGTCGCTCAGGGAGGCCGTGCTCTCTGCCCTTCAGCCCATTCCCCGCCTTTCCTGTTTTCTGTCTCCATGGGAACGCGGCCTTGCGTAGAGGAGAGAGACTTATAAGACCGGCAAGAAAGGCAGGAATCAAATCCCAGGAGACGCGCTCCGGCCCACACACCCGTGTAGATGCCCAGCAGCGTGTAGATCAGCTCCTGGGTCGGGCGCTGGGTGCTGTTGCCGGGCGCCGTGGCCATCAGGCAGTCGTTGGCCCCGCAGGACAGGAGCTGCTCCTCGGTGATGGCACCTGGGAGGGGGGGCGTGGGGGCGTGAGGACCCAGGGGAGCTGACGGGATATAGGACACGGGGAATGGAAGTGCCGGGGAAAGGGAGGGCAGACCCACCCCAACCAGAAGCCGCCAGGCTCAGCATCACAGAGCAGGGCGGTGTGGCCAAGTGTCTCAGAGGACACTTCCCGGGAGGCCCGCGTCTGCACGCCTGATCTAAAGCCAGTTCGGACAAATGTGCAACCCATGTTGGCTACTGGTTCGATGACTCTTTGACATAAATGAACAGTTTCCACTTTTCCACATTAATCAGAAGAAAGAATGGGTCTGGGAGTGGGTGTCGGGCAGGCTGGTCCTCATTCAGACCCATTCCTGCCAGCCCAGGGCCCCGCAGGTCATGTCGTGTCTTTTCTGAGCGTTCGCTTCCTTATCTGCTAGAGTGAAATGGGAGCTATCACATCGCACGGGGGAGGGGATGGGGGTGGGGAGGCGGGTGTCATAGTTTCCCCAGGGCCGGACTCCCTACCCGGGGCAGACTGGAGGGCTGGGGCTGGAAGGGGTCCCAGAGGGTTAGGGGTTAAGACTCCCCCATCAATAAAGGTCTCCTGAGAATCAGAGACTTATTGTCCTCGGTCCTTGGTTTAAATCCTCGGACATCCCAGGGCGGCATAAGACAGGTACACGCTTTACACCCATGTCTGGCCAGGGCCTTACGTCAGTCAGCCCGGCCGGGGTGGCTCAGTGGTTGTGTATTGACCTGTGAACCAGGAGGGCACAGTTTGATTCCCGGTCAGGGCACAGGCCTGGGCCGCGGGCTCCATCCCCAGGGTGGGGCATGCAGGAGGCAGCCGATGGATGATTCTCTCTCATCCTTGAGTTTCTATCTCTCTCACCCTCTCCCTTCCTCTCTGAAGTCAATAGAAATATATTAAAAACAAAACAAAAAATATAATGAAAAGAAACAAAACGTCAGTCAGCAAATGTTCAGACCGGTGGAGGCGTCAGTGGTCGCGGGTGGAGCATGTGACACGCTGGCCAGCGGTCAGTTCAGCGGGAAAACAAGGCATCGGACTGTTCTCGGGCTCAGGGGACAGAGCTGAGTGCGTAGACCCAGGCTCCACAGGCGGCCTCAGCGCCCCACCCCCCGGGGGGCGAGGTCAGGACCAAGGGGGACCGTCAGGCCACCCACACGGCCTGGGAGGAGCCAGGGAGCAGGTGACGCCAGGGAGCAGGTGACGCCAGGCACGGGCAGGTGGAGAGCCACGCCTGCAGGGCCTCCCGTGGCCACCCGCTCGGGTCCCGGGTAAGGACGCACGCACCTGGGACCAGGGACCCCTCAGGGTCATCACAGCCCCGTCCCTTTCACCTTGAGTGGGCATCTGGCCGAACACGAGGGATGAGATGAGGTTGCCCCACACGCCCGACGACTGGAAAATGAGGAAGAAGATGCCGAAATAGTGGTTCACCACGTCCAGGCCCACCTTTCCCGCCTTCGCTGCGTGCGCGTTCCCCGCGATGGTGAGGTAGGTGCACTGAGCCGACCACAGCGGGGCCGCGCCCAGGCCCAGCAGGATGGAGGTGGGGATCAGTGTGTACCTGTCGGGGAAGCACCGAGGTGAGGTGCCGCGGCCCCCACACTCCCTCCCCATCCCCTGACCCATCAGACCCGGGACGCGGGCGGAGTCGGCCCTTTCCTGGCTCAGGTGCATTCGCGGGAGTGAAAGGCAGGGCCAGGGCCTCCCCTGTGGTGGACGGTGACGGCCGGGAGCCGAGACTACAAACAAGAGGGCTGGGTCCAGCCCGGCCCGCGTGGCTCAGGGGCTGAACATCAACCTATGAACCAGGAGGTCACGGTTCGATTCCCGGTCAGGGCACAGGCCCGGGTTGCAGGCTCGATCCCCAGTGTGGGGCGTGCAGGAGGCAGCCGATCCACGGTTCTCCCTCATCATGGATGTTTCTCTCTCTCTCTCCTTCTCCCTTCCTCTCTGACATCAATAAAAATATAAACAAAACAAAAGAACAAGAGCGGCGGGTCCAGGAGCCCCTCACAGCCCCCGTGTGACAGCGAGGGCTGCTCTGCGTCCCCTCCCCAGGGAGGACCCTGCATGGAAACTCCGTGGTAACAAGACAGAGGCTGCGAGGCCTTCCTGACGGGGTGGCTTGGGTGGCGAGCGGGTCCCTCACAGGGAGGCCTGGTGGGTGCACCTGGGAGGGGGGCGTAGAGTCCCTGGGGTCGCTTTCCTTCAGGGAGCAGGTGCGCTCAGGGGGGCCCGCCCACTGTCTGTGCGGAGGGTGAGGGTCCCCTCCGCACTGTCTCCCTGAAACCGCCCCGGACACTTAGATTCTCGGTCGTCACTGGTCCCCGAAAGTCCCCGCTCCGAGGGAGGTCCACCCAGGCCGCAGGAGGGGCAGAGGGGACCGGGAGGCGGGAGGGGGCGGAGCCGGACACGGCCGAGCAAAGCTGAGCTCATTCTGAGCAGGACCGTGTGCCCCGCCCCGGGCAGGATGGGCGGCCATGGTACCAGCTGGCGTAGAAGTTGCCCAGGGAGAAGGCCACATAGCCGCCCATGGAGAGGACGATGGTCCACTTGCAGCCCAGCGTCCGGATGAGCAGCGGCGGCAGCAGCATGGAGGACAGCAGCACCGCGCAGTACAGCGTGCTCAGCACCGTCACGCCCAGGCC